ACCACCACAACCACCACCTCCTCCTCCTCCCTCTTCATCGTCGATGGCACTCACCAGAGGACAACGCCAAACGACCACACGTCGGACTTGGTGCTGAACGCGTCGTAGCACAGCGCCTCGGGGCTCGTCCACTGATCATGTGTGCAAAGGTGGGGGTGGGTGGTGATGATGGTGATGATGATGGTGATATGATTGGTTTGTGTGAGATGAAGTATTGTGGCAGGTGCAGGGCATGGCACCAAGGACGTGCGCCACAATCATCACAATCACCACAATCACCACAATCACCACAACCACCACAATCACCACAATCACCACAATCACTACAATCACCACAATCACCACAATCATCACAATCACCACAATCACCACAATCACCACAATCACCACAATCACAACGACCATCACGCTTCCATCACAACGACCGCCACAATTGCCACAATCACCACAATCGCCACCGCCACCACTACCACCACCACGGCACCTTGATTGGCATCTTTGTTCCGGTGCGTGCGGTGTAGAGGTCGTCCACTACGCGACCCATCCCGAAATCAGCAATCTTGATCACAAGATTGTCGCCAACCAGACCTGGCCGCAGACAGGAGGAGGGAGGGTGGTATGATAAGGGGGGGGGGGGGACGTGAGTTGAGACGTGAGTTGAAGCGCGACATTGGCGGTGTGGAAGTGCGATGTCAAAGAGAAAAGTGCTTTGCGGCTCGCGTGATGATGTGCACAATTACATGCACCCAGCCCATCACACCACAGCACAACACATCACAGCACAAGACTGATCGACACAGTACATCACAGCACATCACATCACATCACGTCACAACACATGCACGACACACACACCGCTGGTCAGCACGCCCCCTCCCCCCTTCGCTTGCCACACGTACAGTTTCTGGCAGCGAGGTCGCGGTGAATTGTGTTCTGCGCCTCCAAACAGGACATTCCGTCCGCTATCTGGAAGGACATGTACAGCTGTGCCGTCTCGTCAATCGTCGACCGCGCCTATGGAGGAGAGACGACGGTGGTTGGGTTGAATTGGTTGGTTTGGGTGGCGATGGCGGTGGGGGATTCGTTGGTGGTTGGAGGGAACGATGACCCAAAGAGCGACAGATTAGAGAGAGGAGAAAGAGAAGAGGAAAACAAGGTCAGCACGTGGCAAGCATGTGAGTCAAACACACATGCATATGTACACACACAAGCAAATACACATGTGCATGTACACACAAAACAAACACACAAGCAAACACACAAACAAACACACAAACAAAGCACAGCGAGGCGGGCCGCACGTTTGGTCTACGGAGGAAGGAGAGAAGATCGCCGTGGGGAACGTACTCCTGGACAATGTACATGGGCAGCGATAAGCTGCACACGCCAATCAACTTCACCAGGTTCGGGTGGCTGGTGGTGGCGGTAAAGGGGTGGTGGTGGCGGTGAAGGGGAGGCAGTGGTGTGAGTTTGGTGTGAGGGCAAGAACGCCATGGGAGGATTAAGGGGCGTAAAAGGGGTTGCACATACACACATATAAACACAGACACAAACACAGACACACGCACACGCGTTGGAAACACATTTACACGACAACACGAACAAGCCAACACGTGGACGTGGTCGTGCGATGCAGCGCATTGTGGCAGCCAACATCCACACCGGAGTTTCTTCATGACGTGCGCCTCCTTCATAAACTCAACCGTCTCCATGCTTTCCTCTTTGATCGTCTTCACAGCAACAATCTGGCGGTGGTGGTGGTGGTGGTGGTGGTGAAGGTGGTGAAGGTGGTGAAGGTGGTGGTGGTTGGATGAGGCAGATAAACGATATACCACGCCGCTCGCATGTGCAACATGGCGCTCGAACACACGCACATGCACAAGCACAGAGAGAAAGTGATACAGAGAGACAAAGAGAAAAGCACACTCAAATATACACTCAAACATACACACAATCACACACACACACAATCACACACAAAATCACACACACACACAATCACACACAAAATCACACGCCTCACCTGCTTGTTAAACTTTGCCTTGAACACCTCGCCGTAGTTGCCGCCACCAAGCATGTCCATCAGCTTGATGTCGTCGCGCTTCAGCTCCCACTTCTTGTCCAAATCCATCCCGACCACAATCGTCTTGGCGTGCGCCTGGCGGTCGTGAGGTGTGTGTGTGTGTGTGGGGGGGATTGTGTGTGTGTGTGTGTGTGTGTGTGTGTGTGTGTGTGTGTGTGTGTGTGTGTGTGTGTGTGTGTGTGTGTGTCTTTCTCTCTGTGCTTGTCCATGTGCGTGTGTTCGAGCGCCATGTTGCACATGCGAGCGACTGGTATATCGTTTATCTGACTCATCCAACCACGAATTCAACCACATTTCCATGAAACAACAAACACTGCCTTTGAGAGATAATTTAAAAGAAACAGAAAAATCAAGGAGCGCGATTGGGGCGCTACTCTCAGCTCTCTTTATTCGTAGAACGCACCCCTGGAGTCTGTG